TCCTGATCTTTGCTTCTTTATTTTGGCACTAGAGCTATTAGGCTAACAAGTAAAGGAAGCTAATATCCTCCAGTGAGTGTGTCTCACCTGCTGCAGGACCTCCACCAGCAGGGGCACCAGACCCGCGTCAACCACCTCCTGGATTTGTGAGTCTTTCCCGGCTGTGATGTTGGACAGCGTCCACGCCGCCTCCTTCTGGATGTTGTTCTTTGGGTGGCGCAGCAGATTGGGGAACAGAGCCAGCGCCCCAGAGCTCAGAACCCTCTGAGTTTGCTCGTCCGTTCCTGTCACGATGTTCCCCACTGCACGCAACGATGGAGTCTGTGAAAATAACCGACACAAGAGCATTAGCATTATGAAGAGTTAATTATGGTACACAGTACAGGTGAGCACATCTGTCATCAGAATTTAATTAAGTAAACTTACGGTAATATCAACTGCTAATGTGATTGTGTTAATACTAATAAAACATATTAATGCTTTTCAAATGTCAGATTGAGACTGGGACTTTTGTTGTTTATCGTCTACATCCTCATTCTGCTGGTGGAATGAAGAAATGTCACCCTTAGCATGAAAAGCCAACAGCACTACAAGTATGTAAGTAATCTTTGTATTTGTATAGCACTTTTCTAAAGCTTAACCACAATCCTTCATATGACTTACTAAAAGATAAAAGATAATAAAACCCAATTAAACAGGTACAATTATGCTAAACAAAACAAGCTACTACTAAGAGCTATTAATAACAAGACTCTAAAATAGGGTTTTATGATGTTTCTTCCTCATGCTCAATACATAAACCTCCTTAATTGCTAGATGTTTCTCGTTATTTTGTTCCTGCTGTCCTTTTTACTGGCTTTAGACTTTTTCCTCCTGTTGCTGTTTCACTTGCTGATGTTTTAAATCAGTCACCTCAATAGGAATTGTCATGCATTTCACAGTAATGTATCAGTTATTGTTCAGACATGAGCCCTCTTGCCTCCTGCCTCATTTCCAGGGAACTGTACTAGGTCTCGTCCATATCAGTCTTCCCAGCATTTCTACTCATTCACATTTAATCCATTATGGTGTTCAATTGCATGTGTGAAAGAGGCTCAAGTTTCTCACCATGATGGTGATGTCTGAGCAGGCGAGCAGCTGTACGAGTTGGGGCACGAGGCCAGCCTGCAGCACCACCTCGATGCGCTCGTTCGGGCCGTCGGTGAGGTAGGACACGGCCCAGCACGTGTCGGCCAGCACCTCGGGGTCGTTGTGTTCGAGGAGACGCAGCAGAGCCGGCAGCATCTGCTGCACCGCAGTCACGGGAGGAGCTGGGTTTTTATTCCGGCATAGATTAGACAGAGTCCACGCTACGTTTCTCAGGTAGCTCGTCTACAACCAGGGAGGAAGAGAGAGAGTTCAGTAATGACTGGGAGTCAAAAACTATTACAAGGACAGTGTTTCATTTTTAACAGGATCAGAAGCTTAGCAACTTAAAATAGCTCAGAAGCTACTATGAAAATGAATAATAAAAAAATCTTTCTGTGCAGGTTCTCAAGTTTCACTAGTAACACAGACATCCTGACCAATCAGATTTGAACAGAATTGATTTCAACAGTGCTGCAGTATAAAATGTATTTATCTTATACAATAATTTATAGAAAATGTTTGAATTAGACAGATGTTCAATACTTGCTGTTTACATTAGCCTTGTAGCACAGTGCAAAATTACTGATGCAAATTTCAGATACCAAAAATGCCTTTGTAGTGTAACTGACTACACTTGGAAAAAAGGAAAGTTGCAAAAGTGTAAATTTGATTTTGATCAAAACCATTCCTGAGCTACCATTACCCAGTACAGATCTACATAAACCCGTAGTACATCCCTAGTGACAGAGGTACTTACAGTAAACATAGACAGGTTGGGAACAGACAGCAGCGAGAGCAGGGGCTCGATGGCTCCGTGTTTGATGACTTTGTCCCTGTACGTCGAGCCATCACCTTAAAAGGAAAACAAAGTTAGACTCAACCAGAAACCGCATCTGTGAAATGTTTACTGCTATGTCTTCTCACCAGCGATATTGCCGAGGGCCCAGATAGCTTGCTCGCTGATGTGAGCATGAGGAGAGGAGATGAGGCTGATGAAGGCTGGAATGGCTCCCCCCTCCACCACGGCCCTTGTTTGGTCTGAGGTGCCTGAGGCGATGTTGGTGAGAGCCCAGGCAGCCTCAAACTGGATGGGAGGACAGTGAGAGAACGAGAGGAAGCTCACTAATGTAGTGATCAGACCTGCTTCCACGATCGAGTCGATAGGAGGGTGTTTTTCTCTGGACAGCAACTTCCTGTTGGGGTAAAACAGTATGGAAACTGCATATATTTAATCCTGCCTTGTTAAAATGTTTTACATGATGACACTTTTAAATATGGCAATTTATTTTATAATAGAATTTATATAATTTTATTTTACTTTTATAATACAGACCTGGCAACTCTCTATGCAGTACAAATAAAAAACAGGAGGTGTGGTGATAAAAGAAGCACAAATGCAGCTAAGAGAGAAGTTGGATGTAGTGTTCTTTTATTTAGCAATGCAAAACACCAGATAAATACCTGGTCTAGCTGCCTTATGTGCATCGAGGCATGTAACCATGTGATATTCGGGACCATCTCATACAGGAGGAAGTTTCAAAACAAAATATGTGGAGTTCAAACCAAAACCACATCTTGCTTAAAAGAAAGTGGCTTAAAAACTGTGTAAATGAGACCTTAGGGGCCCAAATGAAGTGTGAAAGAAGACTTGACATGACACCCAGCTCCCGGATGCAGTGTCTCTTACCTCGCTGCCTGTGTGGCCTGCAACTGATGATCCAGACACTGACTGTTTACGCCCCATACAATCTCCTCAACGCTCCAGTGCTGGAACGACTGCAGAGTGTAAATGAAATAATGTAAGTGCTCCTGTATGCATTTTTTATCATTCTCCCAGACTTCAGTAATAAAGAGCTGGTGTACGAGAATGTCATCTCATTTCAACGCGGTTAACGATGATGTTTCTGTTACATGTTTCTGCACCAATCCAATATGGCGTACTGGCATCAGAGCCGATACTGGAATGACATTTTACTCTCATTATGTGCAACAGATATCTTGCGATGTTTTGAACGGCTTCCATTAAGCCAAAGCTGCTTGTAGGACGTCTAACTTTGCACTCTGGTTTATAAATAAAGACCCTCGATTTCCTGTTACTTTGAGAATAAGACTAATGGAAGACTTGTTAAGGATTATGTGTATGACCTGAATGTTGTAATGTGTATGTTATATGTACACCTGCTATGTTTTTATGCCTGCTACCTAAAATGACATTTGGGATTGTTAATGTTAATTAAATGGAAATCGAACAGTACGGGATTTAATTTGACATGTTTTCTGTTCCGGCTGACTGACATATTTAATACTATAAAATGAACGCATATGAAGAACCATTTGGATTGCTGGGGATGGTGCCACCTGGGGGCTGTGGAGATGGCTTGGGGATCACATATGGGGAGCTGTACTGTAATGGCTTGGGACTGCGATTGCTGTAGTGGCTTTGGGGCTGCGGTTGCCACGAGCACCTTCGTACTCAGGACTCCATCAGTGGACAGTGGATAGAGTTTAACCAACCGGACTTCTTGCAAAAACTGTGATGAATTTATTGGTTGCACAATTGCACTATTTGTCCATATAGTACACAATAATAGAAGGGATTTATTTATAATTGCACTATCCATTATCACCCAGATGAGGATGGGTTCCCTTTTGAGCCTGGTTCCTCTCAAGGTTTCTTCCTCATATCATCTCAGGGAGTTTTTCCTTGCCACCGTTGCCTCTGGCTTGCTCATTAGGGATAAATTCACATATTTACAATATATCTTTTTTTGTGAATCCATTTATTTCTGTAAAGCTGCTTTGTGACAATGTCCATTGTTAAAAGCGCTATACAAATAAAATTGAATTGAATTGAATATGGTGTTGAGTAACACAACACAAAGCTTGCGGATGAACACAGGACATGATTTCTCATACAGCACACCACCACTGCGTCTCTGATGTCTCTGAGCCATTTGGGAGCTAAAGCAGGCGGCTGTTATTGGTGAGCTGAGTGAAATGATCTGACTCACTGAAAAGAGCTATCACTCTGTTTATGCTTCACCTGAGGTTTTGCACATGTCCCCCTGCAAGGCTTTATGGGACTCAGGACTATTTTAACTACAGCTCCTGCTTTCAGTGTTGTGAATGTAGTGACTTTTTAAACCCCTTTAGTGAGAGTATTTTCAAAAAAGAGCCTAGCAACAATACTAGCGACTTTCTGAGAAGACATTAGCAAGTGTCCTGCACTCGATACACCTCTCCAGCTCACATCACGGCTGCTGGTTATTTAAGTTGAGAGAGCAGGTTTGGTGGATGCATCCCAAGTGGGTAAAGTCTGACTGAGTTACTATTGTGTTAGCTGATGTTCCCAACAACCAATCAGTGATCACTGTTTCCCAATGACCAATCACTGATCACCACTGTTTCCCAACGGCCAATCACGGATCACCACTGTTTCCCAACGGCCAATCACGGATCACCACTGCTTCACAACAAACATTCCCTGATCACCATTATTTCCCAATGGTCAATTACGGATCACCACTGTTTCCCAACAACCAATCACTGATCACCACTGTTTCCCAACAACCAATCATTGATCACCACTGTTTCCCAACAACCAATCATTGATCACCACTGTTTCTCAACAACCAATCATTGATCACCACTGTTTCCCAACAACCCATCACTAATCCCCATTGAGTGTTCTGCCCACGTACTTCTTTGTCCTTTGTTTTAAACTCTCTTCTTGGCTATATTTACAGCAATAAAAGTGAGTTATTCCATCCGTAACCGTTTTCCTTATGTCTATTTAATGATTAATCACTACCACTTCTGATTTATAATGCAACAGCCAGCAACCACAACAACCTACCACTGATTCACCCACCATTATGGTGACTCAGTGGTTAGGGTGCTGAGTTATAGTTCAGAAGGTCTGGGTTCAAATCCCAGCATCTGTCATGGTTGAGTCCTTGAGCAAGACTCTACAGGATATAACTGAGCTGAAGAGTCTTGCTCAAGGACTCAACCATGACAGTAATTTACAGTAAACAGCTGTAAAATATATTTGCAGTGAAGTAGTGTAAGTTATTACACTACTTCACTGCAAATATATTTTACAGCTGTTTACTGTAAATTACTCTGATATTTACAGTAATTTTTATAGTGTTGTAGTACCTAAAGATATCTAAATATACCTAAAGATGACTTCTTTCTATTAGAAATAAGTTATAATCTGTTATTTTCTATTCTGATGAAACCCTTCTCCTTTCTAAGTGCCTTTAGAAAATCCTCTTTCTTCATGTCACATGGTCTGCTTATGCAAATAAGTACTCGTGACGATTAAATCTGTATGCAAATTAGTTTATGACGTCATTTGGTGACTTTTTTGAGTGTGTCACTAGCTACTTCCCCTCAAAAAGTCTTGAGAACATTGCGGATGTTACCTGTGAGTTGTGGTTTGGATCCTGATCCTGTGAATCCGGCAAACAGCTGACATTTCTCCTTTTTAAAATCTGCTCATCTTTCTTTGCTTTTCGGAGCTCCACACTGGCTTCCATCCTCCTCCTCCTCAGCTCCTGGGAGTGTGAAAGAAACGCTATTAGCACTCAGCTCGAACAGAAACAAGGCTGTCTGATCATCATGATGAGGATGAGGAGGATGATGATGAATGAAACACTTCACCTACGTTTGCATCCTTGCCTTTATTTTTAAACTGGTTTAAACGGGAGACGCTGTCACTGGCGCAAGCGGACATTTTCCTCCTGTACACATACAAAACAAATACTATGTTACTGACATGTTATAACACTGGAATGTGACTGGATCCCGCTATACTTAAGTCCTTTTCCAGCCTACACAGTGAGCTACGAGTTAATAAGTCGTCTTGGTTACCGTAAAAGGACATCAGTTAGATTTCCGGGCAAATTTAAGTCACTCTCCGCTACCATGCGGTCTTATTAAAAATACAAATAATTCACTTCAAAGTCATTAAAACACCATAAAATCTTTCCCACTCCAACTCAACACTGTTATCACACTCTTTCAGACGGTTGTCGTACCCTTCAGATGGTGTGCTCAGTTTAAAAAAAAAAATACAGTTATCCCGGAACAGCCGCTTTTCTCGCGCCTGGTTTCCTTGCTCTGGATGACAGTGACGTCACTAGACAGGCGGGACTACGCAGGTCGACACATGAAGCTGAATGGACAGTCTGGAATAAGGAAGACGCTCATTGGCTGGTCTTGACGGCAAAAAACAATGCGTGTAACCGTGGGAACAGCGTGTTGTCGCGAGACTTTACGTAATCTAATACGATATACGGAAATTGACAACCGAAACAATAGTTGTGAGAATTTCATGTTTGGACTTTGTAGAAATACAAGAAGTTACGTTTGTTTTTTTTTCTGTTTTTTTTGCAGTAGGAATCCTCTAAAATATTGAACTGACTATTTGATATGTCTATTGTTTAAAAGGCTTTGTTTCCCCATTCCGGCGTGTGATGACCCAGTGGCCTAATGGATAAGGCATCAGCCTCCGGAGCTGGGGATTGTGGGTTCGAGTCCCATCTGGGTCGGAAATATCACATCGTTTTGAGCTCTAAGAAGAAAAAACGCACAAAATTTGAGACCAACTACCGCGAGAAATAATGTTTAATAACGTCTTAATCTCTCAGACTCAGAGAAAACTACTAACCTGAAGACCATTTATATGCAATTTAATAAACACTTTAATAACCAGTACCAGCTGTACATGATTACTACTTTTAATACATTAAAACTCAGATCAAAGTGCTTATATAAACAAAATACACATGAAATCCATGAAGTAAAGCTATTGCTGATTGCAGATAAGTATAATCCATCTATAAGACAAAAAGGTCATATTTAATTCTAAAAAGTAACACTTAATAATATATTTCTAACATCACAAGCCACAGTTAGTCTTAAAATGTGATGGTGTGGCCTGATGATGCAAAGTGTATGTGGATTCAACCTAAAAAAAAGTTAAATAATAAAAAGAAAACATAAAAACATATGTTTCCTAATACTATGCTACCAAGTTTAATTTTGAGTTTTATTTTGGCTTATCTGTTTCTTCATTCATAAGTAGTGTGAATTGTCATGCTGACTATAAAGCATATTTTATATGTATTTCTTTCTTCTAAAACCTTTTATGAGACAACAGGAAAGTAAGAGTGGAATGATATTAATAACTACTGATAACACACCCTATAACACAGTATAATATAAAACATTTTTGTGGTGATCATATTTGGACAATTGACTGACAAGAAGTTAATCGACCAGGTGCGATCCATTCCCTTGTTACTTCAAGACAAATGAAGCAGATAAAAGGTCTGGAGTTGATATCAGGTATTGATTTGGCATTTGGCAGCTCTTCAACTGGAGCTACCAATATGAAGTCCAAAGAGATCTCAATGCAACTGAAGGAGGCCATCATTAGGCTGAAAAAACAACATAAATCTATAAGAGAGATAGCAAAAACCTTAGGTGTGGCCAAAATCAACAGTTGGGTACATTCTAAAAAGAAATAAAGCACTGGTGAGCTCAACAACATCGAAAGGCCTGGAAGACCACGGAAGACAACTAAAGTGGATGATCGCAGAATCCTTTCCTTGGTGAAGAAAAACCCCTTCACAACATCAACAGAAGTCAAGAATACTCTGGAGAAGGTAGGCGTATCATTGTCAAAATCTACAATCAAGAGATGCCTTCATGAATGTAAATACAGAGGGTTTACAAC